TTTCAGGAAGAAGATAAATCAGCAGGTCTGGATGGATATTTACAATCCTTGAGGCTGACCACTGAAGTCCACCTCCCACTTTGCCATTACTACCCCCATTGCCATTGCAAGATGAATTAAGCTGATCTTAGGGAACTTATTACTTTTATTTATCCTTTGTGGTATACCATTAATTGATTTTTAAAAGTATCAGAATTTGTTTAAAACCCAAATACCGAAATTTATACCCACAGAAGATGTGTTTTAATATTGGTAATACAAGCCTACCCAAAGCTTGTTTCACAGGAAGGGTGATTTATGGATTCTAATGTGTATTTATTTCAAACATTAGTGAATCTTCTCAGATATTCAAAACACTTTTCAAAACTCCTTTGTGTTGAAGCACAAAGAGACAGAAAAATCAATAGTTCTAAGTTTCTGATGGGAAAAAATTAAGATGAGCCACAAAGAATTGCATATTGTTTTGTCGAATAAAGATGTCACTTTCACAGTATGCACCGCTCTCACACTAGTGTGTGTCCTTTAAAGACAAGGATGCAGGTGAGGAAGGCAAATGGAAAAAAAAGAAAAGAAAAGAAAAAAGAAAACCCCCAATCCTCTATATAGACATCTTGCAAACACTTTAACAAAAGAGAGTTTAACTTCTTACTTGCTGTTAGGATTTAGAGAACTAACTTGTATGGAAATGTTCCACCTTTGGGAAAATCAATAACACTCAGAGCTGTGTGGTTTGGAAACCTTTTATCAAACCTTGGCTGCTTTGGTGAAGAACCCCGCAAAGTCTCTCTCTAGGTGTTAGGCTGAAACTAGCAGGCGCTGAAAACCTAAAGCGGAAAATTTACAACTTGATCAGCCCCAGCCACACACCAAAAACCTGCTACTGCTGCAAACATATGTTTCAGATTAAGTTAAGCAAATGGCTCTTGTTTCTCAGGGTTGAAAGTTGATCATGAAAATTCAAATTTGAGTGAGTTGTGCTTCCAATGGATCACCAGATCCTCAAATGCTTATAAAGCCCTCCCAACTGTTTACTCAAGAGATTTCATATACTTTGTTATCTTCTAGAGAGCTTAATTTAGAATCTCCTGGAAATTTAATCCAATCAGGTTTTATTTTCCGGGAACACATATAGTTTTAAAAGTTGGCTAAGTTGGAAACGAGGTGTATTCTTCTTTCTAATGTGAAAATGCTAGATAGCTAATGTGTAACTCAGTTGTTTTCATGCTCTATTTCCTCGCATACATACTAACTTTAAAAGGCAGAAATTAAACTGACGATTTATTTTCAAATTCCCTGGAAGTTTCATTCGCCAGAGGAGTAGGTGTTTTTTGTTTTTTGTTTTTGTTTTTGTTTTTTAACAGCATGAGACAAAATAAAGAAGTGTTATCAGACCCTTTAATAATGTCAGGAAAGACTGAATCATGGTATTTCTTTTACTGGGGGTAACTGTTTTTTGCAACCTCCCTGTGGTTATCCAGCCATTGCCCAGCTAAATTATTTGAAGACCAGTCTGGCTACTAAGGTGTCTTGTAAGGAAATTTAGAATTAACTCCCGACTTTTCAAAGTATCTGGCTCCTTGGGTAAGTTGCAGAGGATGGAGACAGCCATCAGGCACGCACCTCGGCTCCCTTCCTGTGTAATCGCGGGAGTCCGAAGTCGTTCCCTACTACCTCCCTGCATTCAAATGATCATCCTGCAGATTTTAACCGATATTGTCATGTTGAAGTTTGGTAGTTATTGTTTACATTTCTCCCTTCCCCAAGGGGTCTTGGCAAGTGTTTAAGAGATTATTGATTTCCAAGAAACCAAATAAAGGCTGTTCTTTTATAACATATGAAATACACACTTTTCTTTAACTAAATAGGCAGTGTATATTTGACATTGACAAATGGATAGGAGACAAGAAAACTTATTTTAAAAGATTTTGAAAGGGGAGAAATGGACAGGACAGCAGCAGTCCTACAGAAGAGTAGGACTGGAATTAAGAGAAAAGCTTGGAGAAAACTAGGGGGATGCTTTCTGTGCTGTAAAAGTTTAAAATGTCATCGAACACATACAGGTGGTAAACAAACATCGTTGAAGAGGCTACTTTTAGGGGGACCTAATCATTGCAGTTTTTATTTATTTATTGTTGAGATGAGCTTCTTATACTACTTTTCTCCATATTTTTCTCTGGCACTGTGGTACTGAAATATCCACCCAAGTTGGGGAGTTTCTGGTTTACTTAGAATAACCCAGAAAAGCCATTCTGAAACTGTGTCAAGAATACATTTTTTTAAAAAAGTAATAAATACCTGATAGAGATCTTAGCTATCCCATCCCCCAAGTCAAAAGGGAAATACCCAGTGAAGGAAGGAAATTCCCCAACACCCAGATTGAGGGAACAAATGGTAGACACCCAGGAGTTCAGTGTTGTATATCCCACCCCAAATCTCCACAACTTTCCTGCACCAACAAAGGAAAGCCCCTCGTCCTTCCCTGCACCAGATTCTCTTTTCTTGCTCCTGAACCTTAGGAAGGCAAGAATGAAATACTTCATTTATCCAAAGATGGGAGCTCAGTTTGTGGAATGAGCTCCCCCAAAATATATCAGCCAAAGATATGCAAACATTATGGAGATATTTCACTTGAGGGTTCAGATCCAGAATCTGCAAGTCTCCAGGTTGCGATTATTCAACAGGTCCCCTTCGCTACCCTGTGCGCTTCAGCTGCTAAACTTTGTCAACCCAAGTTCTCCCCAGTTTTCGTAGGAGGGTGGCACCCGCAGTTTAAATAGCTCACAGCATGGCCAGGTTTCTCTAGTAACACAGACTTACCTTAGTATCTGGGCAAAACGACTTTTGAGACCGCAAGAAAGACCAAACTATGAGGGAAAATTATCTTTGGACAGAACCCAGCAGTGATTTTGCACACTAAAAAAAGAGGGAAAACTTTGTGTAAGCAGCGCTGTGTGAGAAACAGTCTTATATTGTTAACCTGTGAAATATTTAATAAAATATTTGTATGTTTTTAAGGGATAGAAAAACAGAGTGTGTTGAAACTACATTGCTACTATACTGAGGAACTGAAGGAAAATTTTCACTGTAATAGCATGCCAGGTAGAGAATAATTTTATCTTGCAATGTATTATAATCCGTGTTACTCTACAAAAGCAATTTTGAAAGCGGTTTATGGAGGCTATTTTATAGGGGAAAAACCACTTAAAATACTTTTCTTTGTTGGCTCTTTCTGGTAAAGTATGGATTAAGTTGGTTTGAAAGCATATTTGTACAATCAATATTTAATACAAGTTTGCTTTTGGCCCTCTCACCTGCTCTAACCGTATCATTTTCGTCCTCAAAGTCGGTTCAAGAGAGTAGATGACTAGAATGGGATTCCAGTGGGAGGGAAGAGATTTTACTCAAAGCCCAACAAGTGAGACGAGTTTCAATAAAGCAAGGTGCAATTTGAAATCTTTAAAAACTAGTGTTGTCTTAGGAGTGGTGACTTAAGTGTTGCTAGGGAGACCAGGCAAGGAAAAAGACGCCACACGGAAGTGATTTTCAGTTCTTGTACTTTGCTTAACGCGACAGTAAAAAAAGGAAAGAAAAGAAAGAAAGAAAGAGCGAGCCAAACAGGAAGACACGCCGACATTTGGAGCTTGGAGTTGAGGTCTGCAAGTAGAAGAGGTAGTGGTGGGTACTGAGCCAGACGCGCCCCCTTTTTAGTGCTGTCAAATAAGTTGCTGTCAGGCTCTTTAGCGCGCCGGGGGCCGGGCGCCCCGCTGCACAGCCACCTCCCCCGGGGCGGTAATTAACCAGTACCTGGGCGCACACGACCGATCCGACAGCATCAGCCACAGGCAGAGCCGTGGGGACCAAGGGCCCCGTGGGTCTGGATGCACATTTCCTGAAACACAGGTCTCTCGCGTCTGAGATCACTAGCCCCGAGAAAATGTGCTCATAGTAGAGTTCTTAAACTGGAGCCTGTATGCAGCTGGCCCGCTGAAGGGTGGTGGTGAAAAATAAGGCAAAGAATAGTTGTGGGGGTGACACTTCCACCACCAAAATGACTGAGAGTGGCGCTGCTTTCCTCATGAAGTAGATGCAAATTCGGGGAGCAGGGAAATGGTGTGTCAACTCTGGGGCACTCTGATTAACACCGGGCATGGAGCAAGCAAGATTCTCCACCCACAAACTGTATACTTTTTAAAACTCATTGTCGCTTAGGGCTCAGATCCTGAGATTTCAAGAGCCAGTTTCCTATGGCGAGGGAGTGGTCGGAGAGAGGAATCAGGCTAGGGCCGGAACTTCGGGGTTCTGGCGGAGGGGAGAGGGAAGGGGGCGCGCTGGGCGCTGTCCATGGTGCTGGGAGGAAAGCGGCTTCCCTTCGCAGTACCCAAACCAAGATCAGGTGTGAAAAGGGGAAGATAAACCAACAACACATGCGGCAGGAGATTTTTTAATTCCCTCGAATGTGAAAAACACGCATGTGGTTGTATAATTTAAACAGTATTCTAGGAGTGCTCTGCTCTATCTCCCAGTCGGTACTGTTTAGTCAGACAGCAGCGTTAACTGGTCATTATAGGGAGGTCTTCTCCTTAAAATGTTCCATATTTCAAAGTAATGTAATCATCAATTTTTGACGTACAAAGTAGAGAGGAAGGAGGGGAAAAATGGTGATTTGAGACTTTAAACATATCCAAAGGCACTTAGCTATTTTCAGATTTGATAGGATATAAAAGCAGAACATGACTTAGCCTGTTAGGTAACATGGATATATTGAGAAAGTATTAAAACTATATAGACCCAATTTCATTTTAATAATTCTATAAACTCCACGCTGGCCAAATGCTGCAGTTATATTTTTGTCAGTAAGAATAACAAGAGCGATTTACCTATTGTGGTGTGTGTGTGTGCGTGTGTGTGTATACATTTGAAATGGCTAAGATTTCATTCTAAGTTCTAAAATCATACTCTTAAAACTGCATGCTCTTAAAACAAATTTGATTTCTTAAAAGACAGGTGGCCAGGAAGAAAGTAGGATGCAGACAGAAATTATTTCAAAATGGGGATAAAGAACTAAATGGAAACATAACCTACTTAGTAGGTGAGTCACACTTTGTAAAATACACACACACACACACACACACACACTTCTAAAAATATATCCTGTTACACCCGTGTATAAAATATATGGTTTTTAAAAAACAAAAGTATGTATATCTATGTATCTACAAATACATGAAATTACATAACAAAATTTCAGGCAAACTATTACCTGTGCTTGGTCAAACCAGAAATATGAAAAATTATCTTAATTGTGTTAATCATGAAAATCTTACTAGCCTCAGCAACTTGAATCTATGTGACAATGAAGAAGGAAAGGGACAAAAATTCAAACAGCTGACACAATGATCAGCAGCAACTGACAGCATCTCATTTGATATTTGATATCAAGCACTAGATCAATATTTGTGAGATCAATGCAATTTTAATGGTTTTTCTTTCGAAACTGTATGAAAGCCAAATCATGACACTCTGTGCTAGGGTTATTTTTAGAGCTGGTTATTCCAGGGGATGATATTAAGTAATTTACTGAGGCAAAGGAAAAGGGGGGGGGGGAACCTAAAAAACAAAACCACCACAGCAAACTATCAGTATTTCTTCAATTGATAAATCCTGATTATCTAAGTACCTAGAGAAGGTATAAACATTTATTGGAAAAAAACCATTTATTTAATTATGGTTAAAGAAACAAGAAAAGAAACCTTTGGAAATTATTTGGAGGTACATGAAGATGAAATGGATCAGAAATTTTCACTCACAAGGGGATTAGGTGGTACTTGAGCAAAAATAAATGAAATGATAAAAAGGAAGAAATCCAGGCCTTTCAGCTACACAGTCAATCCCTGCATGTGTGGAATTCAGAGGGAAATAACAGATTTCTCTGTGTCCCAGGCAGAGCAGAAAACTGAGAGCCCTATCTGAAACTCATACACAGCAAGGTTCCTCAAAGGTCAAAAAGAGGGGAGAAAAAGTAATTAGGTACATGGTATTGTCTTCAATTTTCCTTTGGAGAGTTTATACCTTAAAAAATAAAATGCAAAGTAATCTAACTCAGAGGCATACAGGTCCTCAATCTATACATCTTTAAACAGTAATCTAGGAGGATTCTACGCTTTCTTTTTTCAGTCTTTAGTGCTTAGACAGTAGCGTTAACCCATGTGCCCACCAACTCATTTTGTTTGATAAAAATGCTAAACTTTATTTATTTGTTTTTACAGATTCAGTTATGAGGAATTTTCACCTAGAGGAATCCACGACCTTCACCAAACAGCAATTTCTGGGGAGGTAGATGATGGGGGTGGTGCAGAGGGAGTATAAGCAGGTGAACATTTCAGTAAGGCAGTAAGAAGGTGAGATGTGGTGATTGTGGATAGTGATCCTGATAAGCAGATGTTTAAGATTTCAGACTAAAAGAAAAAGAAAATGTTATTCATTTGTAATTCAACATTGATTAAAAACTTGGGAGAAGTTAGTTGTTCACTTGAAATAATAGGAATATTTTAGGAAATTTCTAATGCCTGACCTAAAGATCTCTCATCTTTGTTCAAGATAAAGAATAAAATACTTCAAAGCTATGTAATTCTTAAACTTTTCCCCTCAATGTCTCTTTTTTTCCTAATGTTTTTCTTGATGGCAGTAAATTCCCTAATAATGAAACTGTTAATATATTATTACAAACAGATCACTTCAAATAAAAGGCAATGCATTATATGCTTTTAGTAGTGAAATTCATACCTAAGTCCTTTTGCAGTAGGATTAAATAATGCACCTGGTATATTCCTTAAGTGCCTAGGTAGACATATTTTTCCAGGATTTTAATAACTCCAGAACAGTCACTCTCTGCGTGTGTCTCTATGCTCTATTGTATTTCAAGTCTGGCAGACTGCCTACAAACTAGACACCAACAGTTTAAATCAATTTTTCTTTAATGAAATAAAGCCAACCTTACACACGAATACACATTACATACAAACAGAATTTACAGACACCAATGAACTTGAGGCATTTAAAAATATTTATTACAATGCCTTCAAGAATTTGAACATAAATTTATTTAGAACAGGTTTACAAACAATTCTGGTGACCAACATACATTGAGTCCCTACTATGTAGCAGGCACTGCAAAGACATACACCTACTGTATATAATGTTTATTTCTGGTAGGATGGGTATACGTACCCCATGGATGGGTGTGTATATGCACATGTGTGTATGTATACATGCACACATATATGCATATATACATATTTTTTTCTATTAGGTCTTATTAAAAAAAACCCTGAGTTATCTCAAAGAAGGATATCAACTTTATAGTCAATTGTAGTTAATTCAGACTTCATTTTGACTCATCATAATTTGACCAATAATTTTTTTCCTCATAGCATGGACAGTACTTAGAATTTAAAAGTTTAGTGTTCCAAAAATGCTGCTCTTCTTAAGCCACTTTGAAGTAATGCTAGTGAGTTCAAGATCCAGATCTACATGTTAATCTCTAGTTTTGCCTTCAAACAGAATTCAGTTACAAAGAACTCGGAAAGATTTTGAATCTATTCAGAAGAGGAAAACTCTTTAATTTTCCGAGGAGTAAAAACTCCCCAAGAAACTTCATATAGCTTCTTAGATTTTGCTTAGCATACGTGATAAAACATTGATTGTTGCAGTTTGGTGACCCATGAAATTTGGGGGTTAGTTTTCTCTTCAGACCAGAGCATATAATTATGCAAATAAAGAGCTGTCACTGATCTAGTGAAATACTCACAAACACATGCACTCTGAAATTGGACAGAAAAGTGAAAATGGTTGGTGATGTGATGGTGCCATGGTTTGTTTTCCTGCCAAGTTTCTATCCAAGTTCATTATTCAAATTGTAAACTTTAAAAAGAGACATATCATTCTTGGGGTGTTGGTTGTCTTTTCATTTCAGATTCTTTGTATTGGTACTGCAGGCTGGTTACAAAGTACAGTTCAACATTATTTTACCTATGACAGTCTCCCATATTACCCTATGTAATGGCCAAGGAAGAAAAGCTGAATGATCTAGAAAGAAAGATGCAGGTCCTCCCTGGATTTCTTTCTAGAAACATGTTTCATCTCTGGTTCAAACAGAATTCAACCCAACAATACAAAGAATATACTGAAATGCTGTTCATAAATCTCAAGGCAAAGGGCCGGGAAAAGTTGCCTGGAAGGCCTCATGGATTAAGTCAAATTTCCATTTTCAAGCTTTTACATTGAAGGGAAAAATACTGGTCTCTGCATGGTATCCACTTAATGGTCAAACTTTCAGGACGACTTTCTCCTATCTAGCAATTAAAGCCCAGTATATAATATTTGGTGACTCTAACCTTTATGGTTCATTTACAATTACCACTCTCTAAAACCTTTGTGCTAAGAATTAACAAGAGTTCTTCAATCTAACCATGCTCTTTGGCATCGAGGTCTCCCAATTCCAAAGTTACCACTGCATAGGCTGTTGCATAATTTTAGATGTCATGGAGAGCCCCACTGATGAAATCTGAGAAGGCTCATGTCAGACCACTGACTGCTAAAGACATCACTACATGAAAGATCAGTGGTGTGAAACTTTAAAAACATTGATCCAAATGAATCAATTAAATCAACATTCATCCCTCCTAAGTGTGAGGTTTAAAACTATCATTGTTGCTTTTTTTTTTTTTTTAACTCTACATAGATTTCGAGATAAACGTTGGAATGCTTTGATGGCTACTTCTATTCTCGAATCTCCGTTAATCGACTTTGTGCTATTTCCCTCTTTTCAACATCTTCCACTTGGTGTACATTCTTTACTTTTAGTACAGTGCATGACAGTTGCAATGCTTTAAATCTAAAACCGCCTAACAAAGCTGACGCTTTAGGTAGGGTAGCTTTAAGCTCTGTGAAGTGTTGATTAAAAACCCTTTCCCAGACTCAAACTGATCTTTTTGGAGATTAATAGAATATTAGATAAAAGGAAGACGAACAATTCAAGAGACTCCCACTCAGTCACTCTATACAAGGAAGGAAGGAAGGAAAGTATTCAATTTTTGAAAGGGAGTACCTCCTGGAGTCTTTTATTTTATATTATTACAGCCCCTAATAAGTAATCATAAAATAACCACCACTATTATCTCTTTTTTTTTTTTGCCACCCATATTTCAAAGATGAGAATGTCTCACATTTATTTAAAGACATTTTCCCCTATAGAAGCATGGGGAAAGTTTTTGAGTAATTTTTAGACTTTCTGTGATAGTAATCTTTCTTAAATGAATCACAGGAACCTGTCAGCTTACAGTTATAAACTATGATTTAACAGGAGACATTCATGTGTTTGGATTGGGACTCCAGGTAATCCAGAGAAACATGTGAAAAAATTTAACTTATTAGCCCTGATAATATAGTTAACATATTTTGTCATCCAAACTCTCTCAAAGGAGTTAAGAAGGAAAAGCTGTAAAATAAGTGTAAACACGTTATTTTCAGATTAGATGTAATACATCAAGGACCTATACAGGGACTTGGGAGCAATGTAATGTCACCAGATTGCTTTGGAAAGCACATTTCTTTACAGTATATTAAAGTGTATTTTATAAAATCATAGCTTAACAATGGGTTCAAATTTCTCTGTAGCTAAGGATATTTCAGATATTAAAAACAAACACCTTAAAAAAATGTTGCTTAAAAAAAAAATGTTGGCTTTGTGAAAGGTCCAAGCCAAACAGTAAGTGTTCAAGTGAAGTTAGGATGTTACCTTAAAGCAACAGTAATAGTAATAAAAGCAACTATACAGTTTAAAATACTGATGAATGCTGTTCCATCATTCAAGTTTCTGCTTTTATTAACCTCTGTACTGTACACAAATAAATGAACCTCTGAGCAAGAATAATACGCCGCTGCTTGTTGGGAAAATTGTTTTTATTTTAAAATGGTAAACAGAAATATATAATATATATGAAACTCCTGTGCTTTACTTTTTTCTTTTTGTATAAACAATAATGCAATCTAGGTCGAAGCACAAGGCAGAAACTTGAGAAAACAACAATTATTACAAATAAATTTTCTCCCCCCTTCAAATATCCATGAAAACTTTTAACGGCTGCATGTTTAGATACCTTTATAAAGTTCTAAAGCCAGTATTTTGAATCTCAGATTTATCAACAACTCCTTGCTTCCCATTCCATTTGCTCTAAGAACTGAGTATATAATTTTTTAAAAAGTCTAAATCCTAACTTTAAGCCTCTACTCTCCTAAAAACCTGTCTAAAGAAACCAAAATGGTTAGAAGATCAGAGCAGAAATACTGCTAACACTTGTCACCTCCAAGCAGGCGGGCTCCTACCAACTGATTGTTGTTACTCCAGGAAAATTGATGTGGAGGATTTTACTACATTTATACCAACAGACACATAATCAACAGGTTAAAAAAAAAATCGTACATTCCGAGGAATCTTATCACTTATCAGTTGGCGGTCTCGGATGGTTTGCCTAGCTCTCTCCGGGCTGCTGCAGCTCAGATCCACAAGTAGAAATTACATTTGCACAACTTAAGTTTGCAAATAGCCCTCTATAGATGTTTAAACAAGGCTAACAACCCAGTAGTTTTAAAGTATTAAAGGCAATTAAACAGTGATTCACTCTAGTTGCAAGTAAAGGTTTTCAAAAGGAGAAGTGAGAAAACCGAAGAGAAGGAATAGGAGTGATTTGGTGTCTAAGCTGAGCCCATTTACTTTGCTCTAATTCAGGTGCATAAGCGTCATAAATTTAGCACTGCACAAGTGCTGGGTAGAAAAAAGCAATAAAATTAGTTTTCCTGTGAATACTTTCATATAGTCAAAACACCACACAATTTATAACACTTTGAAAAATATATTCAATCCACATCAATTTTCAAATCCTCTCAAAGGAAGGTACCATTATTGTATACAGTTCACCTTTACTTCTAAAACAGAGAAGATTGCAGACCAACATGCTTGACATTGTTGGAGTTACACATATTAAATTATCCAGGTGTGGATAAAATGACGTTTTGATTTTTCCTGTGTTGTTTCTGCTAAAATAATATCAAAAGATATGTATATATGACCACTGAAAAAAGATCACTTTAATTTGCCATCATTAAAACTATAAGAACAAATTAATGTACTTGTATACCAAACACAGATATTACCAGTTTTAAAACTTGCTGAAATCGGTTCATAATATAAAAACATTTTATCCATGAGGTGGTTAAGTTATTTTTTCTGAGAAGTCAGACAGTTCTAAGTCATTTTGGGTACATTTTATCATGTCCTCAAATAAGGCAGGCATATTGTTGCATATACTTTAAAAAAGGATGAAAAAAATATTAAATTCACACCCCCATCTGCTAGAAACAGAATCTTTCCTAGGTAATTAAATTCAAGTAATTAAAAATTGATAATGTTAAGATTTAATATTTGAATTGAAAAGTCAGCAAAATCTTAACTTATTTTACCTCTTGTATTTCACAGTGTTGGCCAGATATTAGCAGGATTAAAGTAACTGTAGAAACTGTAGGGCAAAACCCTAGAGAGGAAATGGACTACTAAAAATTATGCCACTGTATTGAAAGAAGAAAATCTTTCACACCAGGTCTTTCTTTCCCTTTCTGTGGGAGCAGAAACCTAAAAGAATCATTTTAGCCCCACTTGGCCTCTCAGAAGGAAAAGGTGGAACAGCACACAGGTTCATCTTCCTGATGACAATAAATACTATCCCTAACAGGGTCTAACTCTATGAAAGCTCAGGACAGTCATTCTAGTTAGGATTATGAACAACAAACTTTCTCCACATTAGGATTTAAAAAGCAAAACAAGTGTGCGATCTGAATTACAATGCCACTCAATACACATTATACATTTAAAAAGTAAAGTCAATTCTAATGATAAAGTTGGAAATTCTATTGGAAAGGGGACCTTTCACCCTTAAAAGATTTGCTCATCATTACGTTTTGGTTTAAACAATCTCTTCTGAAATTAGAGACTTGTGTAAAATCTCGTATTCAAATGGCAAGGGTTTTCAGCGGTAATGTGTAATGGGTACTTCATAGATTTTTTATGCAAAGTTTTTCTTTTGGTCTTGAAATGAAAATAGATTGTTAGAGAACAATTTGCACTCCCAAGGCGACATAGTACATCACGGCATTCACGTTCTGAATTTAAATTTGGCTTTTCTGAGGAGGTTTGTGGGGAACTTCCTTTTAATTAGGGGGGGAAAAAAAAGAGGCGTAAGAAGCTCTTCGCCGAAAACCTAAAATGTAAGTTTGAAATCTAGAATAAAAGTTTGCTTCTGTTCGGAGGAAAAAACCGGACATGATCGAGGGGGGCCGGGGGCCGGTGCAAGCGGCGGCTGCGCTGCAGCGGGCGGTAGGACCGCGCAGACGCCGCTCGCCCTGCAGCCCCGGCGCGGGCTCCGTCAGGGCAATTAGAGGCGCGCCGGCCGCGCCGAGCAGGGCGCTGTCAGCCTTAATCTGCGCGCTGACGGGCAGCGCGAAGCCCGAGCTCAGCCCGCAGGAAGCACGACCAGTGAGCCCATATTGCTTTGACAGTTGCACTCATCTAGAAATAATGCAAAACGCTATTTAGATGTATATATCACGACCCTGTGCTCTAGGAAGAAAACAATCTAATGAGGGGCTGGGAGTCTGCTCGCCGACAACAAGCAGTTAGGAGACGTGTGGATGCATGCTCGAGTGTGGTGCCTTGGCTTCCCCTCCCCCGTCTCGCTCGTTCTCCTCTTACAGCTCTTCGTGCTTTATTCTGTGGGAGCGCCGCGTCAGAGCCGGCTTGAGGGAACTGGTCTTTGCCTCAGAGGCTTCGGTAAAGAATTTGAAAATGGACGGGAAGCTCTTCCAGGAAGTTAGCTCGTGACGGTCGGTGCCTGCAAAACACACAGATTCGGTTACGAGGTGGCCTCGCTCGGTGCCAAGGCACAGGCCGCCCGCCTTCCTCCCCGGGAGCCCGAGCCCCGCCCTCGGAGCCCGCGTTCCCCGCGCTCCTGCGCCGGCTCCGCCGCCGGCGCGCGTCTGCAGGCCCCCGGGTGCGGCCCCTCCAGGCCACACCTATGCCCGAGGGTTCACTCTGCCTCCGCGGCCGAGGGCTGTCTACGTCCGCTCACTGCGCATCTCCGCCCGCGGCCCCCGGGGCGGCCCGCCGGAGACCTCCACCGCCTCCCGCCCGAGGCCCCTTCCCGCCCCTGACGGGGGAGGACGCGCCTGGGACACCCCCCGCGGGGTGCCCGAGGCGCGGCCAGGCGGCCCCAGGGCCTCAGCCCCTCCGGGCCAATCGAGGCGCTCGGAGGGAAGGGCCACTCCCTCTCCCGCTTCGAAACCACCCACTTCCCCAGGCTTCGCGCGCGCGCGCGGGGATTGGTTTCCCCTGCGCGCGGAATCCGGCATCTTCACCCATCCCGGAGCACCCACGTTTCTCCGCTTCCCAAGTGAATAAAACAAATCGGAATTTTCTTGCCTCTCTCGGAAGCTGTGCCGTTAGACATAATTTGTCTCAGCGAGGTCACCGCGACCAAATTATATGGGATGCTTCAGGAAGGTTCAGATTTTTTTAAAAAGAGACTGTGCCTAGAAAATTGTCCTAGGAGGCTACATTTTAAAAGATTTTAGGGGCCAGTTTTAGAAAAGCTAAAAAAGTCTTTCCAAGCAGTGAGTACAAAAAGAGCATCTAGGCCTCCTATTTTGTCAGGAGGAATTCAACTTAGAAAATACAGGTTTAGTTTGTCACTTTACAGGGTTATTTTATTTTACCCCAGCTTCTTTCTGTTGATGTACAGTGCTTTTCAAGTCAAACCTCCCTTCAGTTTAACACAGGCAAAAAACAAAACAAGCAAACAAAAAAACTCAAACAAACAAACAAAAAAAAACAGTGATGTAGTCATAAGAACAGATGAGGATATTAATCGGTTTCGACTCCTTGTGATAACATATCATTTTGCCAGTCTCTTCATAACAATTTTTTAATCAAAAAATAAAAATAATAACGAAGACTCTACCATAGAAATAATGAGTGAATAGCTTTGAAACAGTTGAAATCACTTCCTAGATCACTCAATTATGCAGAGAGATACTGCCTGGAAGTCTTGGGATTCAGGGCCTCTGTCTGATACTTTAACATTGTTAATGATAATTCTTTAGTCTGTAATAGTAGGTCATTGCTATGGTTACTCTACAATGGTGCAACACTTTGCTTTCCCCTTCAGCTATTCGCTGAGACCTGGTAACCACATTTGTTGCCTAGCAACAGTTTTGTGACAGTATCACAATCTGGGAGTTACAACAATAAGGATGCTATGGCTGCAGTCGACCAGAGAGCAGAAAGCTACAGTCTGTGCATGGGACTAAGATGTGGGAGCTGGCCCTACCAGAGAACCTGTCTCTTAATGGGTGCCCTCACAAGGATGCTTTCTATCCTCTTCTCCTCTGCAATTTGGCCTTATGAACCTGTCCTGGGAACTACGATCTAGTGTTGAAGTCCTATCCTTGAGAAATATCCTCCAACACTACTGTATTCAGATTAAAAAATGAGGTCATTTGCTTACCCATTTTGGGCAAATTTCAATGTTACTCATTGGGAGAGAGAGATTAGTATAGGTTTATCCTGGCAAATTCTAAAGTGCCTGACTTGATTTTGACAAGTCTTCACAGAATTTTTTGGGGAAAAATTTATATATATATATATATATATGCGCCTGCCCTCATCAATAAGTGTGCAAACTTTCAAATTCTTTAAAATATATGTAACACCCAGGTATTTATTATTATATTTTTCACTGATTTATTCATTTGACAATCTTAAAGAATTCTTTTGAATTTGGAGGCATCTATATTCTCCAAGCCCAAGTAAGCACTTCTAGATATGCTCAGACAAACCTACTTTGGGTATATTTGAAAGGGGCCTAGTTTCTAGATAGGTTTATGAAATTCCTGTTCCAATTTCTATGGTGCTTGCAAATCTAGTTTCATTTCAATAACTAATTGCACTTATAATAAGATACTTCAAAACCAATTGTATTTCTTCCTTTTGAAAGACTATTCTCAGATGCATACTACAAGGCAGCACACATCCCCAAAAACAATAAGAAAAGAAAGAAAGAAAGAAAGAAAGAAAGAAAGAAAGAAAGAAAGAAAGAAAGAGAAAGAAAAAGGTGTTAATTGTCTTCTTTTCCTTTCTCATTTCCCATGCTTCCAGACTGATTTGGCATTTCCTCCATAGTGATCACACTTACACTTACTAGTGTTACCAAGGCTATGATCAATTTGTAAGCTTTCTCAGGGAATTCTTCTCATAATTCCTCCCACCCCTTGAAAACCAATTCAATCTAGGAATCTAGAGGGACCTAAGGAGTCAATGGTCTGAAGCAATTTTAACTCCTTTATTTTTTTCTTTCCTGGTGACAATCTTTCTGAAGGATGAACAAATTTCCCTGGTGATAAAATCACTACAAAAGCTTTTTAGATTTAGCTTATGATGACTCTCTGCTTGATTAGTCCTGGGTTGAAAAGACCAAAGTCCCTGAGATAACTGAGTACCTGCACTGGCTCTCAACATTTACCCCTGCAATTTAAGAGTATAAATAATGAGAATGTGTGCTCTGTCAGAGGGAGGGAAATTGGTGGGAGTAAAGGTAATAAGCAAAGTGGGTTAGAAACTGAACTACAGAGAACCTAGTAGAGGTAGGAGAATTCTTCCTAAACTAAGGAGTAGTAAAGTGAATATTTTATACAAAAAATGGCTTTCTTTTTAGAATTTTTTGAAATGAGTTTTTTTTTTAAAGATTTTATTTATTTATTTGACAGAGATCACAAGTAGGCAGAGAGGCAGGCAGAGAGAGAGAAGGAAGCAGGCTCCCTGCTGAGCAGAAAGCCAGATGTGGGGCTCTATCCCAGGACCCTGAGATCATGACCTGAGCCGAAGGCAGAGGCTTAACCCACTGAGCCACCCAGGAACCCTTTAAATAGGTTTTTAATAATTTTATTAAAATAGCAGTTGGAAGTTAGGTAATTGCATATCCACCTGGGGCTACATATATACATTTCAAGAACATGTCTGGAGATCCTTTTAAAAAAGTCAGAGCTAAAGTTCAATGAAAATATTTACAAATTAATATGAATATCTACCCATAGCAATGCTTAGATTATGGAAACTTTTGAGAGCAGCTTTCTAGTAGTTAAAAAATACACCACTTAAGGAGAAATGATTCCATCAGGACAGAAGCACTAGCCCATAAAAGTGGAAAATTCAGGCTAGTCAAAAAAGCATCCATTTATTGATAAACTGCAATGATGTGTAGGTAATATGGAAAATCATTCAAAATAACAAAACTAACCATGTTACTTGAAGGATATAAACATGATCTTTAGTTTTTCCTTTAGGACAACTTTACCCTAATCAAAAGCTCCTCTTTTTAGGGACCATGGACTTGTTTTCACTTTCAGACCCCCACTTTCTTAATCAAGAGAGGTTCCCATATAGGAGTAAAGGGTTTCCCATATTAAATACCCGCCATGTTCACAGGGGAAGATTTTTGTATCTTTCTGAGATTGGCAGTCTTGCTCTTTCTGGGTAATTCACTTTGGGGGCAAATTCAGTTTCCTTATCCATGGAATCATTTCAGTATCAAAATAAAAAACACAGGGTCTCAGTGTTTCATTACAAAAAAGTGCCTTTGTTCAGTCTCAATAAGTGATTCTTAATGGGCATGGTAGTGGCTTCTGGGGCATTTAGGAAATTTGTAGTGATATTTTTGGTGGTCAGGATGGTTGATAAGAACTACTGGCATTTAGAAGAAGGCCAGGGAAGCTGGAAATCCTGCAATTTGCAAGGCAGTAGAGCACAGTGAATTGTCTTGCACCCCACACATCTTCCTTCCTCCCTCCTTCCCTCCCTCCTTCCTTCCCTTTCTTTGTTTTAAAGATTTTATTTATTTATTTGAGAGAGCGAGCTGGGGGTGGGGAGGCAGAGGGAGAGGGAGAAGCAAGCAAACTCGCCCCACTGAACAGGGAACCCCACATGCGGCTCAATGCCAGGACACTGGGATCATGACCTAAGCCAAAGGCAAATGCTTAACCGACTGAGACACCCAGGTGCCCCCCACATCGTTTGCAAACATTCCACCAGCTATTCATGTAGTTGAAAACTCTGTTTATAATTATATGGTATTTTAGATGTGTTTAACAAATAGTCTCAAAGTACTTTTGGCATCATTTGAACATACACAGAATTTTCTAGGAATCCGACTACCATGTAAACAGAAGGGATTTTGTACTTTATGTTGTTCAAAATATTAATAAGCAAGAGTGGTTTATATAATTACCAAGAATGGTTTACCCTATGAAACAAATCTCATCACTGATCGTATCACTGCCCATGAAAGTTGAGTCACCAATAAGCACATCCGCATCAGCCTGCATTTGCGCTGTTGAATCCATGGTGATTTTATGTACAGGACTAAGTAACTGACTACTATTATTATGCCTTCTTATGGAGAGTTTCTAGAGCACTTAAAATGTTGATATGCATATTATTTTTATTATGAGTTACTTTTCTTTTATTCCTTCTATGTGTTAACTAGAGCATTATAATAATTTAGCTATCTTCTAAGTAAGTGGATCATGTTATCTTTAGAATTAATTTCAAGATAATAAAAGCACTATGTAATATTTGTTTTAATGGGAGGTATTTAGATAATCAGTGTCATCTTAAATCAAAATGAATAGTTAATTCTTTTTAAAATTATATTATAGATTAATTTTCCCTATAATCTGAACCCCACTCTATCTCTTTTAGCCTATACAGAGCAGAGAATGCCTTTTATTTCTCTTAATGTTTCTTCCATACATATTGTTTGTCAATGATGTTATTCACTGC